ATTGCCCCCGAGCTTGTTGTGGTGCTTGTTGCTGCTGCTGCTGTTGCTGTTGCTGAGGTTGCAATTGAAAGGTTTGATTAGCATCAACTGCATTTGCGTGTGCCTTACCTTTCCCCCGTGGAACAAAATTCTGTTGCGGAGCATTATTCGCCTGTTGGCCTCTTTCCGCCTTCTTTCTTCTGAGGAAACGCTCGGCTTGCTCTCCTCGGACCTTCAGATCCTTCCATGTCTTGGACGGTGCTGTCCCCATTGCTTCCAACACGTCCAGTGCGAGGTTGTTGTGGCACGTCTGGAGGATGAATTCCTCGGTGATCGGGTCCCGACAGTTCATCGCCTTGTTCCGGAACCTCTTGACGAAGGTGTCTACCAATTCTCCGTCTTTCTGCTTCTCGTCTAGCAACGATCCGATGGATATCTCTGTGTCGTCATCGAAGAAGTTGGCAAGGAACTTGGTCTCCATGTCGTCCCAGCTGTTCACACTACCTGGCTTGAGGCGACGATACCAATCGAAGGCGGCTCCGCGAAGAGTGCCAACGAATGACCGCACCATCAGAGGCTCATTGCCGGAGATAACTCCCAGGTGCGATTTGAAATAAATCAAATGTTGAGTGGGGGAACCCATCCCATTAAACGACGTGAAGTTAATTAGGTTGAACTGCAAGGAATGCCTGTTTTCTTCGTCTCTTGAGCGGAAATCAATGTATTGATTTTGCTCTCGAGATTTTTAAATTTCATATTTTCATCTGTGTTTTCACTAGCATTCTCGTTACCACCCCCTGCATTGACGGGAGGATTATTGGTATTACGAGCTTCATTCGTATCCTCGTCTTCCAAATTAACCGGGTTACGGTTACGACGGTTCGGCTCGCCTTGCTGGTTCGCCAATGCTTGGATTTGTTGGTCATGCATTTCCCTCATGTTCTGCATGGCCATCTGCATCTCGGACCTGAAGGTTTCCTGTTGCTTAGCTAAGGCATCTTCAAGCATCTTGGCAATTTGTTCCGCACTTATCATAAGTGCCTCGCGGGGTTGTCCCTCGCTGGACACCGTATTATCTGATGCAACCGCGGAGCCGGCATCAGATTCTTCATCTTCTGAAGGGCGTCTTGTCCGAACCCTACCATAGGTTGCTCGCTCTCGAAATCATCTCGTGCCGATGTCCCTTTGCTGGTCATGTTGGGGGGGACCCTCGGAAATTCTCCGTCTTCAATCATCCTTCTTCTTCGTTGAAAACGCCTAGGCCTAGGTTTTGGCGTCTCCGCACTGAGTCTTTCAAAAACTGAAACTCTTTCGGGGACCGCCTTGATGCATTTGCATTCAGACAATACCGACCGAATGAGTTTGGAACAGGGGCATTGAATTTCCTGTTCTCGGGGACTCCTCTTCCTGGTTCTATTCGTACCCCCAGCACGATAGTACAACTCGTCATTTTGACAGTCAGAGTAACCTATCGTGTGCGGGCACGACTTCTCAGGTATAACACTATCACTATCAGATGATAATGTTTCCATCTGAGGGTGACTTGCCTTCTTTGAGCTTTCAAAGGTTACCCGTCTCAAAACATGCCTGTTTGGGCGTGAATTTTCGGCGTGCTCTTGGACTTCAATGCGCAAATTGGTGCACGCAGCTACCTTGAGCTCTTTGTCATGCTGGAGGTGATGGCGACCCCCAGTATGTTGAGTCGTTCTGGGCTTCTTCATCGGGCCCAAACGCTCGTGAATTGGAGCTTTGCCTCTCTCGTCAGGAATTGGACCGAGGCGCTCCATAATTGATTTCTTCTTGCGGGATGACTCTGCATGATCTCCCGGAGAAGTTATTGGGATTAACGGCGACTTTGGTTGACTCGCCGGAGTTTGACCTTCCTTAGAAGGCTGCACTGGTTGCTTTTTGGCCTGAGTCGCCACTTCAGACTTAGGCTTCCAGACTTGGCGTGTTGGTGGTGGCTTCTTCTCCACCTCCTTTTGCAGCTTTCTACGGGCTTCCTGAGCTTGAGCCCGTGCCTGCGCTGACATCGCGCGGCGCTTGCGAATGCGCTCCTCGAGCGTCGAACGGTTCCGTTTGACGCGGACCCATTCGTTCTTTGGCGGCTTGGAGGAGTCGCCGTTCATTGGTGGTTGATGCTGTTTGCCTCTTCTGTTCTTCAGATCCGCGTTGTAGCGGAATCCGCCTGTAGACTCCATCGCCTTGGCGAGTTGCCGCGCAAGGCGTTGACGACGCCTCTGGCGGGCTCTCTTTGAGAGAGTCACAACACCTTCAACAGTGGAGGCGTTGGCGGGAGTTGAGTTGACCTGGTTGGAGGTCGGCAGAATTTCATCTGACGCGACTTTGGCGTCAGCTGGGGTGAGAGCTTCGTTGGCTTTCCGAGCTTCTTCGAACCAACGAACTTTTCTCCTGGAGGAGAACTTCTTGGACTTGCGGGGGGAGATAGAGCCGGACGAGGACACGTACTCCTCGAACTTGGCTTGGTCGAACTCGTACTCGACCTCCTCCACGACCGGGATTGCAATCCGCGGCTGCGACGCATCGATCTCGTTGGCGAGATCGTCGGCTCCCACTGTGGTCGCCAGATTGTTCGCGTGGAAAACTGTTGCTTTCTTCATTAATGAGATAATTGTCATCTTGAGTTACAACTTTTTGAGTTTACAAAAGATCCGGTCTTTTATAGATCCGGTTACAACTAAATCAAAGAAAAAAAAATAAAAATTACAACTTTCCTCTTGTGAACAAATCGCAAGCTCCTGTTTTGCGGTTGCTTGCTTGTGTGGGTTCTTTGCCAACGCCGGGGTTAATCCGTGGACCACCGCGCGATCTAGATCCGGTCGGATCTACACGATTATGCGGGTATTATTCCACGAAGGGAATAATAGCCGGGAGGGATTAATCCACCAAGGGAATAATCGCTCAGATCTCGAGATCTAAGACCAAGCTTAGATCTGGAGTGTAGTCTCGTGTAGATCTCAGATCTGTTCTTTCTTCCTCTCGAGATCCTGCCTTTTCTGACGTGGATGGTCGCCGAGGATCAGATCTGAATGTGCAAGTCTTCTGGTCTTCAAGCTCCGAGTTCACTCTTCAATCCGGCAGAGTTTCGGCTCTTGAAAGTTCGACCTCTGAAAATGAACATCTCTAGGCCTATTTATAGGCTCTCAGGACAGTGGCTGCAAAAAGGGAATTGTCGGCCACCTCGGGCCACTGTCGGCCACCTCGGGCCACTGTCGGCCACCTCGGGGTGGCCGACACTGTGCCTAGGGCCGAGCCACCCATGGGTGGCTCGGCTTAGGCCGAGCCACCTATGGGTGGCTCGGCTTTGGCCGAGCCCCCTAGGTGTTGGGTTTTCTATCGTTTTATGCTGTATCCGTTTTCCGGTTCCGTCCGTGATTTGGTTGATTCAGACTTGACTCGTTGACCTGATTTGGCAGTAAGTCGAATTCCTGATTTGGCAGTAACTCCACTTTTGAGTTCGAGTCCGAAACCGATCTTGATTCGGTCGTGATTCATCCGAGTCCGCTCTTGTTTGGATGAATCGTTGACTCCCCGAACCGTTGGCTTGATTCCGCACGCGAATGGATGCATTCCGTTGCTTGCGTGCGATTCATCGATCTCGTCGCCTCGTTGGTTTGTCGGTTTGTGCCGAGCTGTGCTAAGGGACCTATAAGCAATTTTATATGCCTACAGTGGGGAGTGGAAATCAAACTTTATTTGGGTTTGACCAATGGGTAGGCTCATCTACCATTGCTTCTGTATTTTCTTCTCTTTTTAATATCACCTCTTTTCCTTTTGCTTCTATCAGCAGTATAAGAAAGAAGGTGAATGATGAATGAACATGGGATATACAGTTTAGAAGGAAATTGACTGAAAATTTGGTTTTTTAATATTTTAATATGTTGAACTTTATTATGTTTATAAATTTTGAACAAAGGGAGGACAAGAGAAAATGTATTTGGGAAGCAAAAGGTAGTTTCATAGTTAAATTCTATTATCAATTTCTTATTGATGGGGTTAAAGATTTGAATGCGCAAATCTTTGGAAGCTTCCTGTTCCTTTAAAGATGAAATTTCTTGTTTGGTTGGCTTTAAAACATGGGTTAAATACAAAAGATAATCTAGATAGGAAAGGAATTCATCTAGAATTGATGTACTGTTTATGTTCCAAAGAAGAGGAAAGTCATTTACATTTATTTGTTGAATGTGAGTTTGTATACTCAATATGAAGATCTATTCAATATAAAATAAAAATTAAAAAGGAGTTTAGTTTGAATTTTTTAAAAGAAACTTTGGAATAATTGGGTTATGGGTGAGGATGATAACTGCAAATTGGAAAGAGATGTGATTATTTGCTCTCTTACCTGGTGTATATGGTAGGAACGTAATGATAGAATTTTTTCAAACAAGAGGAAGAGAACTCTTGAGCTTTTGAGCAAGATTATGACGTTTTCAACATTTTGGTTAGGTTCTAACCCTACTTCTGCTTGAGCTGCTAGGCTGCAGGAGAGAAGGAGAAAGAGGGTTGCTGAAGGTGTACAAGTTGCTGTTGCTGCTGGAAGAGAGAATAAGGGTTTGTGAGTACAATGATTCAGTTGGAATGATTTCTAATTCCAGAAACTTGAAGATGTACTGTTTTTTGAGTCTTAAAACTTTGTTTGAAGGTGAATTGTTCTACTATTTTGATTTGGTAGTAGCTGATAGGTTTTTCTCCTTTTTGGGAAAGGGTAAAGAGCTGTCAAGGAGTAGGAGTTCTTTTGTTTTGTAAAACTTGTTTGAACTTGTGTACACATCCTTGGTTGGGGATGTGTATCATTATGTAACAACTATGTTTTATTAATTTAGCTGGCTGGATTACTGTTATGGTAATCCATCCTTTTTCTAAAAAAAGGACCACAAACACAATATCTATCAGCCTGATCCAAACACTACTAAGATACCAATCGAAATATTGTTATTATTATTATTCTCTTCCATTTTTGTTCATTATATAATAAATAAATATTATACATAGGCAACAAATGAAACCAACAAGTTATGTGGACATACGATAACAATATGAAAAATGGTAACTCGCACAAGTATTACATTAATTGACAAACAATTGAATCCTATGTATCAGAAACCCAAACCACTTATTGTGTGAAAAGTAGAGACAAACAGTATTCAAATTTGACGGGCGCCGTTCACTGGCCGCACATATGTACGTACGTTTCACTTTCATCAACAACCAACCAACCAACCTTCTTCTCGATCGTCTGAGTTTTGACGAACTCTAAGTACGTAATATGATGGATCAGATCTGACAATTTAGGCGCGGTGTAGGCACAGCGACGAGCCTGATGGCTCTAGGCGCTGTCAACCCGAAGACATCGCCCATGTCGAGCTCGCTTGGCTTCATTCCGTCGGGCAGCTCCCAGTTGAAGCAGTGCGCAAGCTGAGCCACCGTGAGGTCCAGGGCGTAGAGCCCCAGCTGCATCCCAGGGCAGGACCTTCGTCCAGAGCCGAATGGGATCAGCTCGAAGAAATTCCCCTTGAAGTCGACATTCACGGCATCCCCACCCGGCGCAAACCTAGAGGGTCGGAAAGTGTCGGCGTCTTTCCATGCAGACTTGTCACGGCCGATAGCGAAAGCGTTGATCATCACCCTCGACTTCTTGGGGATGGAGTATCCCGCAACCTCGCAGTCCTCGGCGGTCTCGTGGAGGAGGAGAGGGATGGGAGGGTGGAGGCGGAGGGTCTCCTTGATGCAGCACTTGAGGTAGGGGAGCTTGTCCATGTCCGACTCGCGTACCTTGCGGTCGAGGCCGACAACTTGGGCTAGCTCTTGCTGGACCCGTTTCATGTCTTCTGGACTCCTCATTAGCTCCGCCATGGCCCACTCTATTGCCGATGCTACCGTCTCCGTTCCCCCGAACATCACATCCTGCGTTCATTTTCACAGGCCCGCGCCTTTCTAATTAAATATTGAATTAAAAGCACAGTCAACCAGCTAACGCATCTAAAAAAATTAATTAAGAAACTGATTGTTAGTCCTCTTATTTTTCGTCCTATCTTATCCCACATACATGGCATCGTTACATACATATACTCATAAGCAAATTAACGTGTACCCCTCGCCATATTTCTATCTATCTATAAATATTGTTTATACGTGTTTGGTGAGATACACGCGCAAGCAAGCAAACAAAAAGATTGCCTGGGACTTTCTAGCTAGCTATAGAAAGGAGCTAGAGGGGAGAAAAAGAAAACAATTGTGTAAACACTCTTTTTTTTTTTTTTTTTTTTTTTTGTAAGGAAGTCATGCATGTTTCCTTGTTTCATCAACTGGGCGCGTCCTCAACTGACACGAGACTAAAATTGAGATGCTTCTCGTTGAATTAGAAAAAGGAAAGATGGGAGAGGGGGATGAGCTTATTATCATTTTCAACAAAGAAACGGGGTTTTAGTTATTTATACAATAAAATAAATCCCGGAGGGGAAAAAGATTCTTTGAATTCAAAACCCACCAAAAGTGACAAATATTAAAAAATAATAATAATAAAGGACATGAGTAAGAGGCTTATAGGGAGAGTTTGTTTAAATGCAATTAGTGAAGTTGGTAGGGAGACTCAGTCCCTTACATCATGTGATTATCTACAAGATTTTATATCTACCTTAATTCAACTAATTAATTGTAAGACTTCTCTCAGAAAAAGATGCACTAATTAGTATAAACTATACATGTTATCCTCGCTTAGATGTAGCTAGCTGGTATGACTGGTAACGTACTTAAAGACTCGATCAAGAGTTAAGCTAGCAACAAAGCAACTAAAGCTTAATCGATCTCTAAGTAAGTAAGTGAAAGTGAATCAATATGTGCGGGCGGGGTGTACGTGTAGTAATATTGATCAGTAGCGTTACGTACCATGATGATGGCCTTGATGTTATTTCTGGTGAGTTTGAGCTCATCCGACGACTGATCTCCGATCCTCTTTCCGTCGCCGAGGAAAGCAAGCATGTCATCCACCATGTCAGCATCCACGGCATCAACCTCCTTAGGGTTGGCCATGTGGTCATCGATGATTTTGTCGATGAAGCCGTCGAGGGACTTCCTTGCAACTCTGAGCCTCTTGTTGATCCCCTGAAGATCCATCCACCCTAGAAACGGGATGAAGTCCCCGATGTTGAAGGCTCCGAAGAGCTTGGAGAACTCCTGCAGGATCCCGATGAACTCGTCCTGGTTCTCGTTGGACTGGGTGCCGAAGGCAGCACGGAGGGTGATGTTCTTGGTGAGGTTGAACACCAGCTCGCCGATGTTGACGGGCGAGCCAGAGAGGAGGCGACAGCGGAGGCGATGGAGTCGACCTCGTCACGGACGGAGGCCCAGGACTGGCTGCGGCTTGCGCGAGAGCTTGATGACGGCAGAGCTTGCGCATTTGGCGCCAGAAGGGGCCGTAGTGGGCGAAGGCCATGTCGCGGCGGTCGTAGGTAAGGTAGGTGATGGCGATGGTTGCGGGCGGTTGGAGAAGAGGTTGTCCTGCACCTGGAGGACTTGGCGGGCCATGTCCGGGTGGAAACGGCGAAGGCGTTGAGGAAGCCGAGGCGGAGGTGGAGGAGGCCCCCGTACCTGTCGGCCAGGCTGGCGAGGCCCCGGTGGGTGAGCTGGTCCATCATGTTCATGTTGCCGATGATGGGCAGCGGCCTGGGGCCTGGCGGAAGCGGGATCTTTCGCCGCCTCCGGCTGGACACGACGAACAACACCATCACAGGCATCAAGAAGAGGAGAATGAAGTACGGCAGCGTCTCACTAGCAACCCAGTACCCCATCTTCTAGCTCCTGCTGCTGGTAACAGCTAGCGCTCAGCTGGCGTATGGTTTCTGGAGTGGAGAAATATTTAGTACTTGATTAGTTATTGGTTTCTAGTCCCCTGAGGAGAAAAGGGTGATGAGGGTTGAGCTTTATATATAGCGCCTCGCTAGAGATGGGTGGGGGTGGGGGGTGGGTGGTGGGGGTGGGGTGGGGATAATAATGTGGACAGGATATGTAGCTCTCTAGTTAAATCAATTAATTATTTGTTTGCGTGACTTGGCAAGTTCAACTTGATTTTATAATATAATAATAATAAAAATATTAAGTTAATTGTTTGTTTTCAGGTCGTGATCCTTTTTTACTGTGTGTCTATGTGCAGAGATATTATGGGTGTGCGGTCAGGACCGCGAAAGAGTGTGGGTTGGATTTGGGTAAAACTTTGACGAGTGGCAAGCTGAAGATAGTGGGGTCGGTCCCAATTTCATTCACTCAAGTTGGGAGGAAAATGATTGGATGGGGTTGGAATGGATCAGCTAGACACTCGTCTGTATGCATCAATTTCTCTCACCTAACCCCAGCAAATCATCCAACTTTTTTATTTTTATTTTTTATTTCTTTATATGCATTAAAGTGTATATATATATAATATATATATATATATTATATATATATATATATATATATATAATATATATATATATATATATATAATATAGGGAAAATTGTGTCGAAACCCAAAAGCAGAAGCTTCATGTGACGAGACCCTTTGTATTCTACCCCATGTGGATAAGCCCCAAATACACACAGTATTTGTGACGATGCCCCAAAGTATCAGATTTTAAAAAAAACCCAATGGAAGTTACGAACTTGCCTCTTTGATGGGACTGAACTCGGTTATTGCGCCCCTCCCTATTTATTCCCAATTTCTCCATCATTAATCACATCTCTCTCTCTCTCTCACTCCTCTATCTCTCAACTTCTTCTTCTCTCTCACTTCCTCCATGACCACTGAAAATGATCAGGCTTTGGGGAGGCTGTGGAAGGCGAATGCGAGGATGGTGGTCATAGAGTAGGAGATCGGGGACGTTATCAGGCCCGAGGGCTGGGCCATCTGGGACGGGGCTGACTTTCACCAAACCTGCTACTACACCGAGTACAACAACAAGGGGCCCAACGGCGACCCCAGGCTTAGGGCTGAGTGGGTCAAAAAACACGAGCCTATCAACAAGGAGGCGTCCCTCTTCTTGATCGAAAACTGGCTGGGGGACTTCACCTGGCCGAGGGACGCCGGGGCCAAGTTTATCGACGGCTTCGTCAAGAGCTAGTTAGTTTAATCAAATCGCTAGCTAGGTTATTAATTAAAAGCTCGATTGTCTTGGACCTGCCGTGCATCAAGCACGCTGGGTTTTAATTTGTTACCTTGAATTTTTATTAATTGTTTTCTCATGAATTTTTTAAAACATTTTATTTGTAATTATTTCAGAAAATTATAAATGAAAAGTGAGGTGAATTCCTCTCCTCTTTTGTCGTTGTTATTGCTATTTTATTATCAGTTCTTTCTTTAATTTGTTGTGGACGTGGCCGAAGCGCTGACAGGGAATAAGATCACAAGGAAACAACATAAAAAAATAATAGAAAAGAATTATACGTGTTAGTTCTACTTCCAACTAGTGTTATTTCTAATATAAGCGTTAGTTCTAGTGGTATGTTAGTTCTAGTTGAGCCCCTGTTAGTTCTAGCGTTTCTCGTCTTAGTTCTAGCTGATGTCATGATAGTTCTACTTCCAGCTAGTGTTATTTATAATATAAGCGTTAGTTCTAGTGGTATGTTAGTTCTAGTTGAGTCCCTGTTAGTTCTAGGGGTTCTCATGTTAGTTCTAGCTAATTTCATGTTAGTTCTACTTCCAGCTAGTGTTATTTATAATATAAACGTTAGTTCTAGTGGTATGTTAGTTCTACTTAAGTCCATATTAGTTCTAGCAGTTCTCGTATTAGTTCTAGCTGATTTCATTTTAGTTCTAATTCCAGCTAGTGTTATTTCTAATATAAGCGTTAGTTCTAGTGGTATGTTAGTTCTAGTTGAGCCCTTGTTAGTTCTAACGGTTCTCGTGTTAGTTCTATCTGATTTCATGTTAGTTCTACTTCCAGCTAGTGTTATTTCTAATATAAACGTTAGTTCTAATGGTATGTTAGTTCTAATTGAGCCCATGTTAGTTCTAGCAGTTCTCGTGTTAGTTCTAGCTGATTTTATGTTAGTTCTACTTCCATCTAGTATTATTTCTAATATAAACGTTAGATTTAGTGGTATGTTAGTTTTAGTTGAGTCACTGTTAGTTCTAGGGGCTTTCGTGTTAGTTCGAGCTGATGTCATGTTAGTTCTAATTTTCAGCTAGTGTTATTTCTAATATAAGCGTTAGTTCTAGCGGTATGTTAGTTCTAATTGAGCCCCTGTTAATTCTAACGGTTCTTGTGGTAGTTCTAGTTGATATCATGTTAGTTCTACTTCCAGCTAGTGTTATTTCTAGTGATATGTTTGTTTTAGTTGAGCCCCTGTTAGTTCTAGTGGTTCTCATGTTAGTTCTAACTTATTTCATATTAGTTCTACTTCCAGTTAGTGTTATTTCTAATATAAGTGTTAGTTTTAGTGCTATGTTTGTTCTAGTTGAGCCCCTGTTAGTTCTAGTGGCTCTCATGTTAGTTCTAGTTGATGTCATGTTAGTTATAACTTTTAGCTAGTGTTATTTCTAATATAAGCATTAGTTCGAGTGGTCTGTTAGTTCTAGTTGAGCCCCTGTTAGTTCTAGTGGTTCTCGTGTTAGTTCTAACTGGTGTCGTGTTAGTTCTAAATTGCAGCTAGTATTATTTCTAATATAAACGTTAGTTCTAGTGGTATGTTAGTTCTAGTTAAGCTCCTGTTAGTTCTAGCGATTCTCGTATTAGTTCTAGCTAATTTAATGTTTGTTCTACTTCCAGCTAGTGTTATTTCAAACTAACAAAAATCCTAAGAGTGTAGGCGTCTAAAATTGCCTATAAGTTCCCGCATGCAGCTCGAGACGAAGAGGAGATGATAAACGTCATCATCCAAGTAGAGGAGGTTTATTCGAGTGGCCCACGTGCTCAGCGGCCACTGCCAAGTAGCTCGCATGATCATCAGCCACCAGAATTGCAAAACAAGTGACCCGCGCACTCGTCAGCCAGAACCAAGTGATCCGTGCGCTCACCAACCACCTCCAAGTGGCCCGTCCGCACGCTCATCGGCCACCAAAACGACGAACCAAGTGACCCGTGGGCTTATCGGCCATCTCCAAGTGGTCCGCGCACTCACCAGTCACCCCCAAGTGGCCCGCACGTTCACCGGCCACCAAAACGGCAAATCAAGTAGCTTGTACGCTCATCAGCCACCGCCATGTTACCGAAACGTATGAAATGAATCGGTGAAGCATACAAGTCAAGGAAACAACGAAATATACGTAATGACAAAACAAGTCAAAACCCAAAAGACTGAAATATCCGCTTGCGGCTGAGTCGCATCGAAACGACTCGGCCAAGAACCAGTGGCTCGGCCCATGGTCGAGCCACCAA